CTTGCAGATTTTCAGTTTTTTCAATTTTCAAATGAGTTTCATTATATCCAATGTCTTAATGAAAATGTAATCTTTTAATTCAGTCAATAAAGTACTAGTGCAAAAGACTCAGGGAAATGGTTGAAAAACAGTCATGATTTCACAATGTGTACAGTAAAGCAAATAACATATCAAGACAGGAGTTTACACAGCAGGCAGTATTGAGGAAAAACAAAGACGGTAAATTCTACCTCAGTGTAAAATAGCTTTTTAGTCATTGTGACGAGTACCTGAGAGAAGCAATTTAAAACAGATTAAATGGCTGGCCTCACAGTTTCAGAGGTTCAATCCATGGACAGCAGGCTCCACTGTTTTGGGCTTGAGGGGAGGTGAATGTCATGATGGTGAGTATGCACAGTGGAGAAGGCTCCTCACCTGATGGATGGGCAGGGAGCAGAAACAGCAGCCAGAAGGAGATAGGGACAAGATACCCCCTTCAAAGACAAACCCCCAGTGACCTACTTCCTCCAAGTAGGCCTCACCACCTAACTTCAACTCTCTCCCAATAATGTCATCCAATTAAAAATCCATCAATAGATTAATCCATTTTAAGACAGAGCCCTCATGATCCAGTCACATCTCAGCCTTTTGGAGATACTTCCTATCTAAGCCACAGAATTAGGTAAATCCAAGAGAAAGTGAAACCTGAGCCAGATCTTGAAAATATAGATATAAGCCAAGGTGAAATTTCAATTAGAGCAGAAAAGAAAGCATACCCCACATGCTAGCAGCCTTAGAAGTTTGCACAACACTTTCTCATGCATTTCTGAATTTAATCTCTCAAATATTCTATGAGGTAAGGATTAACAAAAGAGATGTCTGAGCTGTAAAGACCTTTACTTAGAACCAGAGATGGTAAACAGTCCAATAGTTAATAAATGGTAGTCAGCCCTGAAAATACCAATAAAAATCTTAATAATTATGGTATGCTGAAGACAACTTGTAGTGGATCAGAAGAGCCAGCTATTAAATATTCAAAACTTGTGAAAGCTTCTTGTCATCCTGTTGGTAATTTGAAATGGATTATGGCAGCAATACTGGATAAGAAATGTACTCATTATCTTGCTCATGTAATTGTAACCCCTCTGTACAGTATTTTCACAATAATAATTAAAAAATGGATTATGGAAGAAATATTTATACCACAACAACTTGAAACATTACAAATAAGCCACTATCCCCTCCTTTTCTGTTCTGATTTGTTTTGGTAGGATGTTTATCAGTACAGCACTATTTTTAGTAAAGTGTCTCTATATAATAATATGATAAGATGCTACATAGAGATGGACTAAAAAATCTTCTCCAAACTAGTTCTCTGTAATTGTTAAGTCACTGGTTAAAAAGAAAATTTAGAACTTCTCTTCAATTTAGTATGCCTAGCTACAACAATAAGACAAGATACAAACATAAAAGGGATCCAAACAGGAAAAGATGAAGCAAAACTCTCCCTCTTTGCAGATGATATGATCTTGTATTTAAAGATTCCCAGACTCCACTCCCAAATTACTCAAGTTGATTCAAAATTTTGGCAACGTAACAGGGTATAAAATTAACTCTCAAAAATCAATCGCTTTTCTATATGCCAACAATAAGAAAAGCGTGGCTGAAATCAGGAAAGCAACTCCATTCGTAATAGTCCCACAAAAAATAAAATACCTAGGAATTAACTTAACCAAAGAAGTGAAGGATCTCTATGATGAAAACTTTAAAAACCTGAAAAAGGAAATCAAAGCAGAACTTAGGAAGTGGAAAGACCTTCCATGCTCCTGGATTGGAAGGATCAACATTGTGAAAATGGCAATACTTCCCAAGGTCATCTACAAATTCAAGGTGATACCTATCAATATTCCAACCTCATTCTTCAAGGAAATAAAAGAGGCAATCCAACAATTCATATGGACAATAAAAGACCCCAAATACAAAAACGATCCTTAACAGAAAGAACAGTGCTGAGGGAATACCAATACCAAAGTTCAAACTCTACTACAAAGCCATAGTAATCAAAATAGCTTGGTACTGGCACAAGAACAGACCTGAGGACCAATGGAATAGAATTGAAACCCCAGAAATGAACCCACAGACCTATCTATAGCCATCTAATCTTTGATAAGGGAGCTAAAAAAATAGAATGGAAGAAAGACAGCCTCTTCAGTAAATGGTGCTGGGAAAATTGGTTAACTACTTGTAGAAAACTAAAGCTAGATCCTTATATATCACCCTGTACCAGAATCAACCCCAAATGGATCAAAGACCTCTGAGTTAAAGCAGATGCTCTGAAAACATTATGGGATGGAATAGGAGAAATCCTAGGTCTCCTTGGCACAGGCCCAGAAACACAACAAATCAAAGAAAGGTTGGACAAATGGGATTGCATGAAATTGCAGAGCTTCTGCATGGCAAAGGACATAGCTAGCAAGATCAATAGAAAGCCCACGGATTGGGAGAAGATCTTCACTAACCATACAACAGACAAGGGTCTCATATCTAAAATATACCTGGAACTCAAAAAATTAAAACCTCCAACCACAAATTCTCAAAGAAACAATTGCCCAATAAATAAGTGGGCTAAAGACTTAAAGAAAAACTTCTCTGAAGAGGAAAAAAGGATGGCCAATAGACACATGAAGAAATGCTCAACCTCCCTAGCCATAAAAGAAATGCAAATCAAAACAACATTGAGATACCACCTCACTCCAGTTAGAATGGCTAAAATCAAGAACTCTAATAACAACAGATGCTGGAGGGGATGTGGACAGAAGGGAACCTTACCGCATTGTTGGTGGGAATGTAAACTTGTTCAACCACTTTGGAAAGTAGTATGGAGGTTCCTCAAAAGACTCCACATAGAGCTACCCTATGACCCAGCAATCCCACTTTTGGGCATTTACCCAAATGATCACAAACAAGACCATACTAAAGCTACCAGTATGACTATGTTTATTGCAGCATTATTTATCATAGCTAAGATATGGACCCAACCCAGATGCCCCTCAGTAGATGAATGGAACAAGAAAATGTGGTAGATATACACAATGGAATTCTATGCCTCCATCAGAAAGAATGGCATCGCCCCATTTGTTAGGAAATGGAAAGACTTGGAGAAAATTATATTAAGTGAAGTAAGTCAGGCCCAAAGAAACATAGGTTCCATGGTTTCCCTTATTTGCAATTACTAGTATATGTCTGAGACAAGCAGAAACGGTCAGATAAGTTAATGCTAGGCAAAATGAACCCCAAGATAAGGATTCAAATGTTTTTTCTTTCTTGCGATTGTTTCTGACATATTTATAAGATGATTTCTTTGTTGCTTTGTATGTCCCTCCCCCATGGTATATCTCCTATTTTCACTGTATTTGATGTTGGTATAATTTGTGGAGGGGAAGGGAAAAAAATTGTTTAAATAGGAATACAGGTGGACCCATTGCAACAATGAGATGTACAAGACGTTGTGTTGAAAAATGAACTTTACAACTTTGGCTGGGGGGGGAGGGGAAATGGGAAGGGATGGAAAGGGGAACAAAGGAGGAGGCAACAATGCTTGATAAGAAATGAACTCATTACCTTGCCCATGTAATTATAACCCCTCTGCACAGTATTTTCACAATTAAAAAAAAAAAGAAAATTTAGAGTGATTAGGCCACTTAAAAAATAGCCTGCCATGGGCTGGGAAGGTGGCTCAGTGGTAGAGCGCTTGCCTTGCATACCTGAGGCCCTGGGTTTGATTCCTCAGCACCACATAAGCAAAAAGAAAAAGCCGGAAGTGGCGCTATGGTTCAAGTGGTAGAGCGCTAGCCTTGAGCTGAAAAGCTGAGGGACAGCATCCAGGCCCAGAGTTCAGACCCCACGACCAGACTCAAAAAAATATATACATATACATATATATATATATATACATATATCCTGCCAAATTAATTTTTCTCTGCCAATAATTATTTATGAAATTTCTTATTCATTACCGGTCTGATCTTTGTGAGGAAGAATAAAAGGCTTAACACATAGTCTCTAACTATGAAAGTATACTCCAATGTTTTCATAGATGTGAACATTGACTAGCTGGCTTTCTTATTTTCAGTATAACTCTGCCACTTACAAATTCCAGTTCTACACTCCCTCTCGCACTAGTAGGTCATCTCATCATCATTTAAGTGAGTGCATAAAAATAACCACTTGGAGATCTGAGAGGATTTATAATTTTTTAAATATGTATTTAAAATAATATGGGGAGGTATTTTAATTATCTTATGCTCTAGGTTAGGATCTTCAAACACTGCTTATCTGTAAAACTGCTGTTTATTTCAGTAACACTCACCTGGGCCCCTCCACGTTTAATATGGCATTCTTCCTATCTTCCTAAAAGTATTGTCTACCTCAGTTGGCCTAGTTTTTAAGCAATATCAACATATATTTAAATAAACATAATTCCCTAAAATGCAGGGAGTAAGTCAAACCAGGTCAATCTCCTGATTAAAGTATCTTATAGGGAATGTGAAGTCATTTGGGGACCTGCACAATGTGCTACATTGTTAATTCATTTCTTCATTTTAAACAACCCTACTTCATACTAGCTTACTGTAGATCTCTTGGAAAGTCCACAGTAGCATATTTGAAATATCAGGCATTTTTCTTTAAAAACATCTGGGATTCTCTTCAAGTGCTGGTAACTGAGGTTTATGTGCTGGTGTGTCTATGTGGGTAAGAGATATTTACAGATATTGGATTTGCTTAAAAAAACATAATGTTTGTGCCTCTTGCTATAATCTTTGTAGGCTCATGGTGAAGACATTTTCTCTGAGCTTCTGCTAAGCACATTTCTGTGATGCCACATAGTCTAGGTTTTTAAAAAATAAAAATAAAAAACAGCTTCTCAGAAACCACATAATTATTCCCAGTATCTTCTGTTGTATTGTGTTGCCTTGCTCTTACCATATCATCTAAGCTACCAGTAATCTATTTGTTTCTAGAATTTACTTGGAACACACAACTTGGGAAGTGTTTACTATGAGCCCATTAAAGACCGGCATGGAAACATGCTCATTGTCACCATCAGAGAGGTGGAGATGCTTTACTCCTTTTTTAATGGCAAGTGGATGCAGATCTCAAAACTGCAAAGCCAGAGGAAGTCTCTATCAACACCAGAAGAACCAACAGCCTTAGACATTTTGCTGATTACTATCCAGGCAAGTAGGGGCTTCTTTTCTACTTTTCTGATATATTTGAGCTTCCACAGTTACTGAAGCGCTGTAAAATACACCAAGAGTCACTGACATCTGCAGTGATGAGGGAGCGATAGGTTATCACTATGATTCTATACACAGGAGAGATGCTGAAGCTTATTTTTATTTACCCCTCTCTAGATGTGAAACTTACCAAGCAATGTAAAATAGCAGTCACTTTGTCCTCTGAAAATTCCCTTACCAATAATGAACTAATAAAAAACACTAATAATAATTGAGTAGGAAACAGAGTGTAACCACAACATTCAATCAGTACCCGAATGGACAATACTAATAGTAGTCTGTGCATGTGTGTGTGCGTGTACATATTACATATGACACTGAGAAAAAACACAAATTTCCTCTTGCTTTGTTATAGATTATTCTCTTGGGACAGATGGCTTGATTAAGTCAATTTTAGGAATGAAATAACTGGAGCTAGAAGAGGTTAAAGGATGCAGGACTATATGTAGAGACAAATTTGGTGAAGTTAATGAAGCTTCAGTGCCATGAATTTCTTCATTTGCACAAGCCCTTTTGAGACCCTGATCACATCCTAGTAATTACACATTGATGTTTTTGTTCTTTTTTTATTAATAAGTTTTTTTATTGTGAAAATACCATACAGAGGGGTTAAAATTACATGAGCAAGGTAATGAGCATTGTTGTCTCCTCCTTTGTTTCCCCTTACCATCCATGCCCTCCCAGCTCGCGCCCCCCTCCCTTCCCGCCCCCCTATTTCCCTCCCCCCCTCAAAGTTGTAAAGTTCGTTTTTCGACATAGCATCTTGTACATTTCATTGTTGAAATGGGTCTTTTTTAAAAGAATAAAACAGAAGCTATAGAATGTGTCCCTAGATACATAGAAAATGGCAAAACTGAAATTTCAACTCAGTCTTCTAATTGGAAGCACTTATCTTTCTACTCTGTGACATCACATCCTGTGGGATGAGTACTGAATAGCCACGGAAATTCAAAACCCAAGTAGCTTAGATGCAGACTTGGAATGGATGACAGCACAGGCCCCAAGCAGCCCCTTCCTCTCTCCCTTCCTGTTTGCCTTCCTTTATTTTTCCCTCTTTCCCTCCCTTTTTCTGTCCTTCCCTCTCTTCCCTCGTTAACCTAGTAGTCAATGAATTATATAGAACTTTCCTGTTAGGTGGATAAAAGGACAAAAACATTCACATTGAGCCCCATGCAACCAATGAAATATATCTATAAGAAAGTCCATTTGGAGTAACACAGAAGGAAGGGCTCAGTCACACATGAACATTGAAAATCCAAGCCTCAGCCCCAGTAGCTATTCATGGTCACCTTAAACAGCTACTTTACTTTCAGTCTTACTTTATTCCTAACTGAGGAGTGTCTAGTGGAATAATCTCACCTGTTCATTATTCACACCGGCTGAAACCAAGACAAAGTCCAACACAGCAAAGTTAAGCTAATTGGTCAAAGCCAATGCCTCTGGATTTGATTTTATGGAATCTGGGTTCATAGAAAATTGATAGACCATACGTGCATGTGTGAATAAGGTGGGGGCAGGGAACACAGACACATTCGTGCCTCCCTTCTTCACCTTTTATAAGCAAGTGCTAAAAGAAACATTTTAAAAATCATAATAAATTGAGCTTTTACAGGGTGACTAATACACTAATCCCCTATAGGGATAAACTGGGGTCTGTGCTACCTTTTCTCCTAGGAACACAGCAGGCCCCAGCATGATATAATACCTGGTTTCTCCTAGACTTATTACATTAAAAATGTGTTACAGGTGCAGAAAAATTCCAATCTGGTGAAAGGTTGTTAGAGGAGACCAAAAATAGAGGCAGGATCAGGTTTCCACACAGATCCAAGTGGAAAATTTACCCCCGCTGACTGGCACATTCCTGCTTGATGTCATTCCCACCCACCCCCACTCTCCTTCCCCTTCCCCTACTTTGTCTCTCTCCCCACTTTCTCATATAGGTGTTACACTAGAGCAGAAATAAGGAATAAAACTCCTAGGACTGGTATCCCATCACTCCTAGACGTAAGATTTAATTATGTCACAAGTTGGCTCTATCAACTCAGCATACTGGTTGAGACAAGTCTTTCTTTTTCTTTCTTTTTTTTTCCATTGTGCCAGCCCTATGGCTCGAACTCAGGGCCTTAGCACCATCCCTGAACATTTTTCCTCAAAGCTAATGCTCAACCACTTGAGCCACAGCCCAACTTTCAGCTTTTTTTGGTAGTTAATTAGAGTTTCACAGACTTTCCTGCCCACAATCCTCAGATCTCAGCCTACTAAATAACTAGTATTACAGGCATGAGCCACAAGTGCCTGGCTGAAACAAGTTTTAATGGTAGGTAAAGCATGCTATGTAATTTCCACAACAGCAGGCCACAGATGTTCTCTTAGAGGACTGCAATGAAGATCCAAGTATCCTAATAGAAGCCTGAGGCTCTTCCTGCTATCTCACAATATACTATAGGGTACCCATTTGCAAAGAGGTCAGTTGAATATAATTCCTGATTCACCCATTCTGGTTGTGTTGTGACTACAACAAGATACTTATTTCTTTGCCCCTTGTATCTCTTCCTCTGCAGAAAACCCTACTTCATGGGGCTCTGATGAGAATTAAATGAATTAACATATAAAGCATTAGAAGAGAAAAAAGCAAATCAGTATTAGTGATTTTCATTATTGCTTCACTTAGAAGGATCCAAGCAACATTAGGCTCCCTTCCGGACACATGCAATCCATCTCTTTATCCCTATTCTCCCAGGAGACCTCTACTGCTGGCCATTCATCCCTTAGGGTATTCCATCACTCAACTACCTTGTACAAAAAAATTATATACATACATACATATATATATATATATATGGGGCAATAGAGTACATTGTGATATGAATGGAAATGGCAAAATGAAAACTCCCCTTGAACAACTTATTATGCTAATTAAATTTTTAACTGAAAAAGTAAAAATAAAAGTTGCACTGCCATAGCCAAGCATAAGACAGAAGCCTCCCAGCATTCATGTTGTTGAGGCAGGAAGATGACAAGTTCCAGGACAGCTTTAGCTATCACAGACCCTGTCTCAAATTAATTATAAAAAGGGGGAAGGGTAGGAATAGAAAGGTTGTATAAAAACAGAGTTTTCAGAAAAGGTAAAGGTTGAAAAAAAACTTAGCCTTAACTAATTTAGTAATAGGGCCCCAGCAAAACTGCAGTATCTACCCCCCCTCAAATTCCTAGCCTTCTCAAATCCTACACCTTTCAAAAATGGTCTCTCTCATATATGTATATGAGGAAGAGAAAAATGTATCTCATGCTTGCCTAGGAAGTAAAAGATACTATGGACAAATTAGAATCCCTCTGAGCAAACTAACTGGCAATAAGGATACTCCCAATATGCAGACCCCTCCTGAATGCTGGCTTATTCTACTTCTGATCTTTGGAGTCACTTCAATAACTGGATACTTCACATGTGAAGTGTTTAATGGAAGATTAATTTTTCACACGTGAATGATATACTCTGTAAAAATTTTCTCATGTCTCATATTATTTGATTCTCTTGAAAAATTAGCAAGATTAAGTAATTCTTTTATGTCCAATTCACATATGAAAGCATGGATTTCAAGGATATAACTTGACAAAGTCCTATTCGCCAAAAAAAAAAAAAAAAAAATCTGCTAGACAAGCACTAGTCCCACATCTCCTGGCAACTAGTCTGGTGCCTTCCCATTATAACATGCTGCTTTACTCACTTTCCCCCATTTTCTCTGTCTCCTTTCTTACAAGTATGTCCTGGAGAAGCTGTGGTGATTCTTGCCTTCTCTGTCTTCCCATTTCTGTATTCTTTGCCACTTCCAGATACTTAATATCTTCTTATACACTAAGTGCCCAAGACCTCTTCTGCCATTTGTGCTTTTTGTTTGGGGTTGTATTTTCTGCATTTGATTGTTTGTTATACACTCCTACTCCTTCTACCCTCAAGAAGCATCTAACCCAGATATCTAAAACTATAGGAAGCCAGGTACTTGTGGTTAACACCTTGATACTCTGGAGTTTGAGATCTGAGAATCGTGACTCAAAGCAAACTCAGTGTGACCCAAAGCCAGCTCAGACTGTAAAATCTGTGAGACTCTTACCTTTGATAACCACCAAAAAGCTGAAGTGGATCTGGCTCAAATGCTGGAGTGTCAACCTTGAGTGGAAAAAGCTAAGGGCAACACCCAGTACTTCTACTAAATAAATAAATAAATAAATAAACTATCGGAATCAGAATTGAACTTAAGAATTAACTGAGTTCAATCAAAAATGAATTCACAAATATTCACATAAACATGAGTCATAATTACTAAAGAGTAGAAAAGGCCTAAATGTCTAACAACTGATGAACATTTGAACAAAAGGTAATATATGTAAGTATATAATGTAGTGTGTATATATATATATATATATATATATATATACATACACACATATATATATAATGGAATCTTATTCAGCCATAAAGTAAAATGTGATACATGCTACAAAATGTATGAACCTTGAAAACAATATGCTAAGCAAAAGAAGCACAACACAAAATGTCACATGTTGTGTGAGTCAACTCAGAGACTATAATCATTAATGAGCAAACCCAGAAAGAAAAAGTAAATCAATGGTTCTAAGAGTAAGAGGAGGAGAAATTAGCAAATGAGAGCTAATAAATGTGAGGTTTCTTTCTGGAGTACTGGAAATGGTCTGGAATTAGATACAAGTGATAGTTGCACAACATTATAAATATACTAAGAACCACTGCATTCACACTTTATGATGATGAATTTATATCTCAATTTCAAAAAGGAACAATAAGAACCAATAGTCCCTACAAAGAACCCTATTAAGCTTCAGCTAATTAGAGTAGAAAATATATTCCCAAACATAGACCCATTTTCTACTTATTATTTCACTTATTTCCACTTATTCTTACATAT